ATTGGAGAAGATGCATCACTCATTGATGAAATGTCAGTTTGCTTGAGTTGTTGACGAACAATCTCTATTGGAGGTTGCGGAGGTCTGAAGCTCTCGGGCAAACTTGTAGGGTTAGGCTGCCTCAAAAGTCCCGATGCTGACTGACCACCGAATTGCTGGAAGGAGGCTTCAGATGATGAATGTGATGAATGTGATGAAGGTGATGCCCGATACGATGAATGTGGTGATGAAGATGACTGATGAGCCGACTGTGGTAATGACGATAAGGATGATCCCAGTTTGGACGGTTCAGACTGCGATATTTTCATCAGTCGTGATATCAATGAGTCTGTTTGTATGCCTTGCGCCGGCTGAGTTGATCCGGCTGACACAGGATTACTAAATGTACACCTGACTGGGAACCTTGGCATACGAGGGGTCACTCCCACACCTGCGTGAACACTGAGAGGCATGCGATTGGCAAGCATACCAAGGGAGGGGCGAGTCGTTCGACCCAAGATCTCGTACGGATTGGGCGGTTTACCTGAAGACTGCACCCTGGCCTGCAATGGCTGTAGGTTTGGTCTAGTTGAGCCGATCTGAACTTGCCCCTCGTCTCCACAGGTAATTAATTTACCACGAATGTACTCCTCACCTTTTTTATCTAACACATAAACACCGTCCTGGTCACTCACATACTTAGATTTTCTGGCCTCTTGGATTATTTCCATGACATTTTCTTGTGATATTTTCATTCTATGTACTAACACAAATAATTTTGCCATATTCATTGGGCATCCTAGCAGTGATTGTAATAATTTGTCTACGTCAGAGAAAACTGCTTTGGGCTGAGGTTTCAACTCCTCTGCACCACCCTGAAAAGTATTCTTGTTAATCGCTGTGGTATCCTGGCTACTTGTCTGTCCACAAACATCATCTGATATATCAGATGGTACAGTTTCATCAAAATTCTTAGAAAAAAGATTTTCTTCACTTGAACTATTTATTATCATATCACTCTCACCGTCATTGGGCTCCTCTTTCACATTCATAAGGGTATCACAGAAAGCAGTACTGCCTGTTTGGCTTCTGTCATTACCCAGAGCAGAGGGTATATCATAATGGTTAGGGGACAGTTGTAGATTCTGGTGACTAGCCCCAAGAAATTGTCCGGACATCTCATTTTTATCCTGCAAAGATGGTTCCTCAAGTTTCAAATGAACATCGCCAATATCTGTGAACATTTCTTCTTCGGATCGGAGGAACGTAGGTTGACAACCAATGTCTCCGACATTAGCTGGGCCGCTGTTAAGCTGTTGGGCCATCCACAAAACTGGCTGTTCAGATACCTGAGCGATCTGTCCATTGTCAGACATCCAGTATAATATGGGATTAATTTCAGATGATGTGGCCAGTCCAAGTGACTTGGCAATATCAACTGCCTTGACGGCTGTCCCTTGTGTGTGTAGAAATGCCTGAATAGCTCCAACTGTCTCGGGGTCCACTCCTCTATTGGCCTTGAACGACTGTAATAGAGCAGAAACATTGTGACTACAACAAAACCAAAACTTGACTATCTCACTCTAAATTGTATGTCATTGAATTTCGTTCACCTTTTTTTCTCATATTTATAGTGTGAATGTGTATAGGCACTTGCAGCATAAAGAGATGAAAAGTATTCTAGTCATAATAAGATTTCTTTACAAACTGTAATTTTTTAAGTAAAAGATTATGAAGAAGATAAATATATTGAGATATATCAACAACCTTACCATTCTATACCAACTTAATTTCTTTCAATGACAAAATATCACCAAGACACTGAAATAGAGCAACATACCCGGTTTTTCTCATTCTAATAACAGGTTAGTACATGTAATATAAATTTACATTATACCTTTTATGCTCAGGTGTGCAATTCTTAAAATAGATATTTCTCACCAAAAATAATATTTCAAGTTTCCAGAAGACATGACATTTAAGGTGTATCAATCCTATTATTATTCTATAGGCCTATTTATTGAAAACCAGGAAGGTAATTGTCACACTGCAAAGGCGACATAATAAAAAAAGAAAAAAAAGAAAATCGAAACCGAAACTAGGAGTTTCCAGGTATTTCGTAAGATATGACGACAGAGGGTATAAATACATTTTTAAAATTAATACTTTTCTATTTTGAGAGTTAAATCCACGTTTAAGTCCACGAGTAATACCCCCTCCTCTTCCTCGGCCTCGGCCTCGTCCTCGGCCTCTACCTCT